TGCCATGTCGGTGGCGGGGGGTGGGGGGCGGGGTCTGCCCCAAGGTCGGTCCCGCGGAGACCAGCCTCCGCGCCGGCAGGGACCGCTGTATCGGGGGGTGACGCTCACGGTGCGGGGGGGCCCGGTGGGCGCCCGTCTGCTTGCAGATTGCGCTCACGTGCACGCAGATCTGGTGGACCACCGAGGTGGGCCTGGCATTCTCGAGGCTGGAGGAAGGCTATGAAAACTCCATCAAGGATTACAACAAAAAGCAGGTGCGTGTCCGTCAGAAACCCTGCCCTTTCTGTCGGTTGGTCAAAAGCGGCCAAATCTCAGCAACCCCCTGTGGTTCCGCCCAAAGGTAACCGCTTTGGAAATATACAACTTTCACTTTTTTGTCTGGAAATCAGCAAATCATCAATTTGTGTGCATATCATGGACTTACATGCCAATACTGTAGAAACTTATCTGCATGGCTTTAAAAATCCCCTGTTTGTACTTAATGTCCACCGTCTTCCCGGGGTGTTAGACTTTCTCACACGATGTCATTTTCAGAGGCTCCGTGGTATCCCGTCGGGGGCTGCTCTGCTGCTCACCCCACCCCCAGCCGGGGGATATTGAGAATTTTTCTGTGCTCCGTTTTTGTAAATAAGAGCATGGTGGGCTTCCCTCCCCCACTGTGGGCTCCCAGGGGACCCACGCAGCCGGGGGAGGGCGGGGCGCACGCAGTGTCCCAGCCAAGGTGCCTCTGCTCCTGCAGATCAGCCAGCTGAACGCGCTCATCACCCTGCTCATTGGAAACCTCAGTGCCGGCGACAGGATGAAGATCATGACCATCTGCACCATCGACGTGCATGCCCGGGACGTGGTCGCCAAAATGATCACAGCCAAGGCATGGGCGCCGGGGAAGGGCCGGGAACCGGGCTGGCCCCCGTTAGTGCCTCTTCCCGGGGCGGGGGGGCGTGACTCTGTTCCTGGTAGCAGCCCCCACCCCTCACGAAGACTCGGCCCTGGGGAGCAGTCAGAGGAGGGCCCGCTCCTCCACGGGATTTGGCTGGGGGCAGCATTGGGGTGGACATGGGTCCTGGAGGAGGAGCCGAGGGTCTGGCACCTCCTGCAGGTGGAGAGCTCCCAGGCCTTCACCTGGCAGTCCCAGCTCCGGCATCGCTGGGACGAAGAGAAGAAGCACTGCTTTGCCAACATCTGTGACGCCCAAATCCAGTACTCCTACGAATACCTGGGCAACACGCCGCGGCTGGTCATCACCCCGCTCACAGACAGGTGAGGGCACGCACCAGCCGCCTTGGGCAGGCGGTCGGGGAGGCCTGTGTCCAGACTCACCCCTGCCGCCTGCCGGGCACCCAGCCTCGGATCACTCCGACGCTAGCTGTGTGGTCTTGGAGGAGTTGCTCAGCCTCTCTGAGGGCCTGCCAAGTGGGGGTGCCATTTCTGGCTCCATCTCACGTCCCTCTTGTGTCTCCCTGGTGCCAAGCGCATGTCACCTGGGCACGGTGAGCTGACACTACCGTGAAAGGGAAGGGGGTGGCCATGGGGTCACCGCACGCAGGATAATCAGAGGTCCCTTGCAGATGCTACATAACCTTGACCCAGTCCCTGCACCTGATCATGGGCGGGGCCCCCGCTGGCCCTGCCGGGACCGGCAAGACGGAGACGACCAAGGATCTGGGCAGGGCCCTGGGCACCATGGTGTATGTCTTCAACTGCTCGGAGCAAATGGACTACAAGGTGCGCTCCAGGCCTGGAGGGGGCCAGAGGCCCCTGTGGGGACCACACACCGCATCCCCGGGCCCCATGCGTGTTCTAGATGTCTGGACACTGCAGTTCGAACCGGGGGAGGAGGCACCGGGTTCCCAGTCTGCTGACGGTCTCTGCCCTGCGTCCCTGCCAGTGGTCTTGGCCCTCCCAGGAAGCTGGGGCCCCGTGGAGGTGACAAACATGTCCAGAAGAGGCTCCTAGGGTCAACAAACCCAGGCCCAAATGTCCTGTCCTGCCCTGGGAGGTCACCTCCTCCCAGCCTCTGTTCCAAGCTCTCTCCAGGTGGCTGGGGGCTCCCGACAGAATGAGCGCCTCTGTCGTGGTTCAGCGTGGGGCTTTGGGGTCAAAGCGAGTCCAGGCAGGCTGAGCAGGGGAGCCAGGGGACAGGCCAGGCCCCAGCGATCCCTGGAGACTGTGCAGCATGCTGTGGGTTCTCCACGGGCCCCATGGGAGAGCAGAGCCTCCTGGAGGCCCAGCAGGGCAGCCTCTGTGGTGGGCTGGGGTGGGCCTGGCATCAGAGCCTGGGCCTGCAGGAGGCCTCTGGTCCCCTCCCCACCCGTATTTGAGCCCCAAAGCCCAACCCTCCTGAGGTTGAGGTGGGGCCAGCTGCCCCTCTCCCAGTCAAGGCCACAGACCACACCAGCCTCTGGATTTCAGAAAAGTATCTCAGGAGCACTTTAACACTCACCTGGAATCCCATACGGAGACCCTGAAGAATCCTCATCACCCAGCTAAGGACTGGAGAGACACAAACATCTAGAAGAAAATCTGACACGCATGCCCACCCCCCATCTTGGAGAGAAGCCCCTCCCTTGAGTGCAAGAAAAAAATAGCAGGGGCTGCATTTTATACAAATGCACTTGTCTGAGCCATCCAGCTCGGAGGCCAGGGAAGCCCCCACACCAGGGAGGTCATGGGCCAAGGCTGGGCTCTTCCTGGCAGCCAGCCCTCCACGGCATGCACCGGCCCGCTGGCCTCCCCCAGGCCCCAGAGCTCCCCAGCCTGACCCTCGGTCAGTGGACTGTGAACAGGACTGTGACCCAGCAGAAGGGGCAGGTGGGGGGCGCCTGGCAGGACTCTGGTCGGTCCTCTGAGTCTCTTCCTCTCCCCTATCTCACCCTTCCTAGTCTTGTGGGAACATCTACAAGGGCCTGGCTCAGACTGGAGCGTGGGGCTGCTTCGATGAATTTAACCGAATCTCGGTGGAGGTCTTGTCCGTGATCGCTGTGCAGGTAGGGTCCTGTCCCTGGTCTGTGGGTCACGTAGGGGCTGGGGCTTGTCAGCTCTCCTGTCAGCCCTTACACCAGGCAGTCCGTTCAGCCCTGTGACCCTCCTTGCCTGTCCCCAATGCGCCGTGCAGTGCAGGGTGGTGTGGCACGGAGGTGAGGGACCCCAGGCCTGTCCTGCAGGGGCCCGGAGTCCAGGTGGGCACACAGAAGAATCGGATGCAGCAGGCCTAGGTGTAACCAGCTACACATGAGGGGATAATGAATTCTGCCTGGAGGACAAGGACAGAGGTTACGGTGTCAGCGAAGGATGCATTAGACATCAGTGCTGGAAGGACAGGGAGGAGGCCGGGAAAGACGGGAGGGAGGAAATAGGCCCGTGTGCTTCGGGCATGAACGATGGGGAGGCCGGGACGCGGTGGGAGTAAGATCCTCAGAGGGGGGACAGCCCCATGCCGGCACAGCCCCAGGCCGCTTGCAAACTGCCTGTGCACCCGCCCCCACGTCTGGAGGTGCATTCCTACACTGCACACGAACCCTCCGGATCCGGAGGTGAGAACCACGGGGCTCTCTCAGGGGAGCCGAGGCCAAGCTCGAGGTCCAGAATCAACTTGAATATTCCAAAAGGACCCAGAGGTCAGGCCGGTGCAGGTGCTGGGACCCTCCTTCCCACGGGCGCAGTAGATAGATAAGCAGAGACCAGCTCCCTGCAGCCGGAGTCTCCAGCCCACACGGGAGGCTGGGGGGCAGAGCCAGGGGAGCCGAGCTGAAACCGGCCCCTGCCACTCACGACCCACAGCCTGGGTGTAGCGCCTGCTCCAGACTTACTCACTGGACTCCCCAGCTCTGTGCTTGGCCGTGATTTCAACTCTCCCTAATCCCTAAAATGGTTTCGACGACTCAGGTTTGCTGACACCATTAGAGGTGAAGGCAGGTGGCCGGCACCCTCCACCTGTTAGCCTCCCGACACGGAGCTGTCCCTGAGCTCTGGGCTGGAGGCCAGTAAGGCAAAGAGAGAGCGAAGGCTGCTGCCTCGGGGTCCCCCACCCCCACCAGGGCAGCAGCAGAGTGACTCCCCACCCCCAAAGTCGGTAAATGGACCCCAACATGGTTTTTGACTCGAATGGACCATCAAGAACTGGGCCAGGATGCTAGGAGAGGCTTCGCATAGCAGAGAGGCAGCAAAGAAATTAAGAAATTAAGGTGCACCGCCCCAGCCGCCAGGCCTGCCCCGGGGAGCCCGGCCCTGCGGACCAGCCGGGGAGGAAAGGCCAGGCCCCAGGGCGGGAGCTTTGCTCAGAAGGGCGGAGAGACCTTGAATTCAAGGCAGGCGTTTGGGAGGTTTAACCATGATCGTGGGGCGCCCTCCCGTGGTCGCGCACAGGTTGGCAGCCAGTCGGCAGGAGCGGAAGATCCCACGGGCTCCTGAGCCCCCAGGTTTAGAATTCACCCAGTGCCGTTCTCACAGACCGCCAGACACAGAGCCCGCTGCTGCGGCGTGCCCCCACGCGGCACCCAGAGCGGGAGCGGGACCCACGGAGCGGCCAGGAAGCAGAGCGCCGCTCAGCGACAGTGCGGGGCAAGCAGGGGTGTCCCGGCGCCGGGTGGGGGGACCCTCGACCCCGGTGCTCTACTGGGTGACGCGCCCAGGACATGCTGCAGTACGGGAGTCTGGAGCAGACCAGTGGGGGCCGGGGTCACAGGGAGGGTGGGGGCCGGGGGAGGCGGGTATGACTATAGCAGGGGACGAGAGGGGTCCTCGCGTCGTGCAAGATGCTCCTGCTAGGGGACGCTGGGGAGGGGCGCGCGGGGGGCCCAGGGGCATGTCCGCTGCCTTATTTCTTAAAACTGCGTGTGAGTCTATGTTGTCTCAAAATTAAGTTTAATTAAAAAGAAAGCGAGACCAGGAGTGTCCTCTGCAAACGCGTAGCCACAGGCTTTGACACCAGTGAAGATCCGGCCCGTGGAAGCTGGGCATTCCCACGCTGACACGTCTGTGCGCCAACTGTTTAGGTTAAATGTGTCCAAGATGCGATTCGGGCCAAGAAAAAAACGTTCAGTTTCCTGGGAGAGATGATAGGTCTCATCCCCACCGTGGGCATTTTCATCACCATGAACCCTGGGTATGCAGGACGCGCCGAGCTGCCCGAGAATTTAAAGGCCTTATTCAGGTGTGTGGGCAGAGGAGGGCAGAGGGGACCCTAAGCCAGGGCGAGCTGGGAGTGAGGGAGGGAGGCCGGGGAGCGAGGCTCCTGAGTTAGGGGCTCTAGCAGGCAAGGCCTCCTTAAAAAGCAGACAGTAATCTTCCCGCTCTGCCTTCCTGGGGGAGGAGGCCCCTGACCACGGAAGGCTGGGTTCAGAGAAGAGTCAGTACAGCGGGTGTGGGGCTTGGCGCCAGGCCCTGCAGACGGCAGAGGGCACAGGGGGATGCTGGGAACCCGCCCCCATGCCCCTGCAATCCTGACGCTGTGGGCTTCCTGGCACGGGAGGTGTGCACCTAGCTGATGAGAGGCGGGATTGTGGGAGGAAGGGGGAGAAGCCTGAGCAGACCCCGCTGATCTCCCCCAGGCCCTGCGCCATGGTGGTTCCCGACTTTGAACTGATATGTGAGATCATGCTGGTGGCCGAGGGCTTTCTGGAAGCCCGCCTGCTGGCCAGGAAGTTCATCACGCTCTATACCTTGTGCAAAGAGCTCCTGTCGAAGCAGGTGCATGCCAGCGGTGTCCGGGGCTGCAGGGCGGCGCGGGAGGGTGCCGTCCATGTGCCCCCGGGGGCATGCCGGCTTTGGCCCCAACCCTCCCTAACCCCAGCCCGGGTGGGAAGGCGTGCTCACACCTGCTCGCCCATGCCTCCCCTCCCCAGGATCATTACGACTGGGGCTTGCGAGCCATCAAGTCTGTGCTGGTGGTGGCCGGCTCCCTGAAGAGGGGCGACCCCAGCCGGGCAGAGGACCAGGTGCTCATGAGGGCGCTGAGAGACTTCAACATCCCCAAGATCGTGACCGACGACCTGCCCGTGTTCATGGGGCTGATCGGGGACCTTTTCCCTGCCCTGGACGTGCCTCGGAAGCGGGACCTGAATTTTGAAAAGGTAGGAACTACTGGGCCCTCGGTGGCAGGTGCAGCACCGGGCAGATGGTAGCCCCACGTTTCTCCCTCCGCTGCTGGGAGAAACACCCGGAAGCCCCAAACCACCTTCCAGCCCCAGCCAGCACCTCTTTCAATGCTGGGGATGGGGCGGATCTCAGGAGGAATGGGGGTGCGGCAGAGGGGCTTCGGGCAGACCTGTCGCCTGCAGATGCTCAGCAGCATCACCGGCAGAACGTGGGGACACATCCACGCCAGAAGCCACTGTTCCCTTACAACATCTCCCACAAAGCCCCCTCCTGGAACGACTGCCTGGTCCTTGCGCCCTGTGCCCAACACCCCCTCCTGTGTGCACCTCCCCAGATCATCAAGCAGAGCATCGTGGAGCTCAAGCTGCAGGCAGAAGACAGCTTTGTGCTGAAGGTCGTGCAGCTCGAGGAGCTGCTCCAAGTGCGCCACTCGGTGTTTGTCATCGGGAACGCGGGCAGTGGCAAATCTCAGGCATGCCCCACTCTTGTCCACTCCTCGGTCCTCCCTGAAGGCCTGTAGGCTGCTAGAGGCTTGGCCTCTGTCACCTCCCCACGCCCCCAGGGGCAGGGGGCAGCGAGGAGCAGGCCCTGGTCCCACTGATGAGGGCCCTCTCCTAGGTTCTCCTCTCTTCTTGCTCCTTCCCCCTGGACACCAGCCACCGGGCCCTCTACGGCCAGCCCCCCACCCCCGCCCTCTGTCCCCACCTGCCCCCTGTGTCAGCCCCCCAAACTCCTGTCCCCTGCCATTACCTGGGCATGGTGAGAAGCAGAGGGTGGTGGCCAATACAACTGATACCTATGACATCGGAAGATTCTAAGCCAGCCAGTGTTGAGCTGGAAGCCCGCAGGATGGACCACTGTGTTATTAATCAAGATCATTTCCAAAGACTAATAACATGGGGGTGCTCACAGCAAGTAATTTTTAAAAAGACAGAAACTTGGCAACAGCTTTCTCTGCCCACGGGTCCTGTCCCTAGGCTTTAATAAAACCACCTTTTTGCACCCCCCCCCAAAAAAAACCAACTGCATGAACCCGATCTTCTAAAAAGAATATGTACATATGTATGTATTTTTATGCCTGTACACACATATACATGTATGAAAACATCCTCAAATGTCCCTCAAAATCCTTTTCTCTGGGTGGAGGAATTACCAGTGAGCGTAGATTGCCTTTGTCATCAAGAAACTACTGTGAACTTTTCCTGATCTTAGCCTGGTCCCAGGGCATGTGGCGCCCCATTGTCCACACACAGGGGTGGTTGCCGTGCGTTCCCCATCCCCCGGGCACCTGCCTCGGTCAGTTTGGGGGCGCAAACTCACCTGCATGTCACCAGGCAGGACCGGCCCAGAGCAGGAGTTCTGGGTGGGGTTCGTAAAAGGCCTTCGGAGTTGTGCATGGTGCGTCCCCGGGTGTGGGTGCAGGAGTGGTGGCCCCCGAGCCCTGGGTGAACAACGCACCCCCACACCAGGTCCTCAAGTCTCTCAACAAGACCTATCAGAACATGAAGAGGAAGCCGGTTGCCGTGGACCTGGACCCCAAGGCTGTCACCTGTGATGAGCTGTTTGGCATCATCAACCCGGCCACCAGGGAGTGGAAAGACGGTAACAGGAGCTGTTGCAGGGTGGACTGAGTGAGGGCAGGTCACCAGCAGGCGTCCCGGGCTCACACCAGCCCTGCTCACTCACACCAGCCCTGCTCACTCACACCAGCCCCGCTCACACCAGCCCTGCTCACTCACACCAGCCCTGCTCGCTCACACCAGCCCTGCTCGCTCACACCAGCCCCGCTCACACC